AAAGTATATGGGAGGGGCTAACAACTAAGGGACAGTTCTACAAATTTGCTTTGGCAACTAGAAGGTTTTTAAGACAGTAGTATAATGAAAAAAAATTAGCACCAACTGAAAATGTTTTCTGCCTTCCCCTCTTGTGGAGTGACTGCTCAGTCACCAGTAGCCCAGATTCCCTGTACCCTGGAGAGGGACCTCTGGTCAGTACAGTGCACAGATCCTGTCGTATTTATAGGAAACATTGCCTCACTGGGAGCACACTGCCAACTGTCCTGCTCAACCCATCAATCAAATATTGAACTTGAGGGCGCCTGGGTGGCTCAATCTGTTAAGCATCTGACTTCAGCTCGGGTCATGATTCCGGGGTCCTGGGATCCAGACCCGGATGGGACTTCCTGCTCAGCGAGGAGCCTGCTTCTCCCTCTGTGCCCCCCCTCCCCCATTCGTGCTCTGTCTCTCTCTCTCTCTCTCTCTCAAATAATGAATAAAATCTTTAAAAAAAACAAAACCAAAAACCAAGTATCAAACTTGAGGAAGCATGGGCTGGGCAAGCCAAGATGAAGGCCGTGGACACAAAGCAACACAAAATGGGCCTACACAAGAAAAAGAAATCCAGAAGTCCAACAAGCGAATCTCTTCTCGCTGAGATTAAGAACATCCCAGGCCTGGGTGGCACTGGCAAGAGGCTGCAGGCCAACCAGGCTCCGAATACTCCTGGATCCTTGGGTTTACTGACGTCGGTGGCTCAAGTCCGGGCCCGCACGACAGAGAGAGGCCCACCAGGGTGACGCGGAGGGGTCCCCGCGCCTCCCGCCTGCCCGCCGCGGCCGAGGTCCGCGCCACGCGGCGTGCGCCTCGGCCCCGGTGGAACCACTGCAGGGGAGGCATTTGGGCAGCGGCCGCAGCGTGCAGAGCTTCTCCACCTGAACCACTGCCTCACGCCGTTCCCTGGTGGAAAGGCTCTTTGTGAGACCTCCACCGGGGCAGCCGAGAGGCCACGAGATGGCAGCAGAGGACACAGCCCAGGACAGAAACCCTGAACCATTGGCAAAAGCAGATCTTTCATTAGGGAGATATGGTCAGTTGCCTATAATCTTGTATTCAAGGCCAGAATAAATTTCAAAGAAATGAGGGCAAAATTCATCAACATGGAGAATTTCCCAACCACCACAGAATTCAGCGGCACATGAAGCCACGTATGAATCGGATATTTCTCCAGGGCTTAAAGCAAGGGATAGGGGTCAAGGCCTTGAAAAACTGACGTCAGCAGGAACCTTGTCACAGTCACTTCTTTCTGTGAAGTTCCAATAGGCCGTAATTCAAGTATAATACGAGTGACTTCCACAGAGGCTGCCAAACTGATGAAGGGGCAGATAAGGGTGGTTGCTGGGAAGCCACGCAGCAGAGCAGAATGCTTTCACGGAGCGTCCAGGGACTCGGGCAGTAGGCAGGGGCGGGGGCAGATAATGAAGATCACAGGACGTGTCAGACAACCTTCACTCGCAGCTGGGGTAGGACGATGCATAGTGAAGGGGCATTAGTAGCCCTGGGACTTAATCTCTGATCTTCTGACTTCTCATCTAATCATCTAATGCTCCTTCCATTATAAACCCCACCCCCAACACCCAGTTGTTACAAGCCAAAATATCTCTAGACATTGCCAAATAACCCTTAGTGGGCAAAATACCCCTCCCTGAGAATCAATGCCATAGAGAGATACTGATTTAAAAAAAAGGTTAAGGGCGCCTGGGTGGCTCAGTCGGTTAAGCGACAGCCTTCGGCTCAGGTCATGATCCCAGGGTCCTGGGATCGAGTCCCACATCAGGCTCCCTGCAGAGCTTCTCCCTCTCCCACTCCCCTTGCTTGTGTTCCCTCTCTCGCTGTGTCCCTCCGTCAAATAAATAAATAAAATCTTAAAAAAATAAATAAATAAAAATAAAAAAAAATAAAAAATAAAAAATAAAAAAAAGGTTAAGTTCGTAATGTTAAACCTCTCCAAGACTCTTGGATTTCAAGAGAGGCCTCAAAGGCCTACAAGAGGTATTGCACACCCAAAACCTGAATTCCTATCATATGTTTGAATAGGAAGAGATTATAATTGAAGGACGACAGGCTGAATGTGGTCCACAGTTTAAGAAAAATTTGTTCTCAACATTTTAAAATCAGAAGAGTTCACATTTAAAAAGTCAGAATTTCTGAGGTCCCTGAGTGGCTCAGTCAGTTAGGTGTCTGCCTTCAGCTCAGATTATGGTCTCAGAGTCCTGGGACTGAGCCACATGGGACTCCCTGCTTGGTGGGGAAGTCTCTTTTCCCTCTCCCTCTGCCCCTCTCCACTCCCCCTCCCCCCATCATCCAGCTCATGCTGTCTCTCAAATGAATAAAATTTAAAAATAATTAATTAAAAAGTCAGAATTTCTGACTTGTCTAGGAAAATTGGAACTATGCCAATACCAGGCCCCCAGTCCCACATGGCAATAACTGGGTGGAGCTGAGTGGGGGTAAAGTCTTGAAGTAGAATGTGTGTGCTCTAGCTTCCCACAGTTCCCACTAGTCCCTGTTACATCACACCCAATCTGTTTCACTCATTTACACTACTCCTCATCTCTGTAAGCAATTTATTTTCAACTTCTGAAGTGGCCTTAGAGTTTCAAAGTATTTTCCCATGTATGATTTTATTTTAGCCGGGTACTCCAGTAAAGTAGAGAGGATAAATACTATGATTATAATCTCCATGTAAGCAAAATCTACTTCAGAGAGGCTGACTTGCCCAAACCTACACAACAAAACCAGAATCTGAATTTCCCAACTCCTAGTCCTATTATTTTTTAAGGAAAAGTTTCTTTTTTTTAAGACTTTATTTATTTATTTATTTGAGAGAGAGTGAAAGAGAGAACAAGCACATGAGCAGGGGGAGGGGCAGAGGGAGAGGGAGAAGCAGACTCCCCACCGAGCAGGGAGCCCGACGCGGGACTCCATCGCAGGACCCTGGGATCATGACCTGAGCCAAAAGCACACCCTTAACCAACGGAGCCACGCAGGTGCCCCTGGAAAAGTTTCTATTAACAACTGCATTTAGTGGTTCAGGGAAAACCGAAGAGGTAGATATGGGCATAACTGCTGGAAAAGATGAGTTCCAATTACTAAACTTTTCAAGAATCACCACAAATGATTGACATTTTTTCTTTTAATATTTCTGCTTCCCTTCTTCTAGTCATTTGAAAAGATTGCCCTTCTAGCGGTCCTGAAGTTGGGTGTGGCTATATGACTTGCTTTGGCCAATGAAAGTGCTATATGTTCTGTTGAGGCAGAAGCATGGAAGAGCTCATGAACAATTCATGCTTACTTCACACAGGAGTGGGGGGTGGGGACTCTAAGCCTCATGGTGACTTAGGTAGGATCTCAAAATGGTGGAGCTCCATCAGCTTGGGTTCCTGAGTAACTTATAATGAGCAAAGCCCACTGCCAGACTAGACATGTACTTCTGAGACCAACATGTGTGGTTTAAAGCCATTAAGATTTGGGCATTGTTGGGGGGGGCCTGGCTGGCTTAGTAGGTAGAGCATGTGACTCTTAATCTCAGAGTTGTGGGTTCAATCCCCATGTGGGTCACAGAGCTTACTTAAGGGGGGGAAAAAAAAGATTTGGGCATTGTTACAAAGCATAGCCTGACCTAACCTGACTGATAAGGTTCATTTGTAGGGTCACTGAACTCCAAGAACTAGAATGCAATTCTTAGATTTCTGATCATATCACTAAAAGCTGTTGATCCTATCTAGAAGACAGAGTGAATTGTTGATTTTTTTTTACCCCCATTTCCTTATCCACCACCATCTTCTCACTTTGAAGAAAATTATTTTCCGAGTCTTGCACACAGAAGCTCTGCATTATTCCTCCGGCAGTTAGACTGGGAGGAGAAGGGGGAGGCCCAGATCTTGTTTTCTCTATTCAAGAGTCTAATTCCACAACTGTCTCCACCCACTAGTACTCACACAACTTTGTCATAGGGCGACTATTACCACTCCCAAGGTGTCACAAACAGGAGCTCTCCCGCGGGCACCACTGCAATGTCAGGGCAAGGCAGCCAGGCTGCGCTCTTTCCTCACTGATGCCTGGGCTTGGCTAAGTCCGGAGAAGCAGCATTCTCTAGGGAAAGAAGCCTTCTCAAGTGGGAACAAAAATGAGTGTGAGGCGCACACCCATCCCGGGCACTATGTGAATTTGGGGTGAGTTCTCTTAGTACTCCAGCTGTGGTCAATTTCTAGTTTCTCTAGCGGCTAGTAAGCTGCCCGGCTCGTGCTACTGGGTCTCCCAGTTTTCCTGGGCTTTTCGCAAGCCCACTCGAGCTTGTCATCTTTGCACACGTGCAAAGGTCATAAACAGTGGGGGTTGAGCCCAACCAGAGCTTCAGGACCAGACGGCAGCCGGGATCAAGGGTCGGCGGCGCAGCCGAGAGGCTGAGCCTGCGCAGTCCCGCTCCCGCCTTGGGGAGAAAGGGTGGCGGCAACGCGGGCTCGTTACACCGGCGTGCTCGCAAGAGGCGGGAAAGTCTTAGCTCGGGTCGCCGCGTCCCCTCCTCTTCCTGCCCCGTCCACCCGTCTGCCCAGCGAGCCTGTCCTCGTCCGGCACCTGGGCCCCGAGGGAGGGGGACGAGAAGGGCCCCGGGCTTCTGACTCATCATCTCCAACCCCTTTCTCGCGCGCGCTCCAAGTCTCAGGACTTTGGATTTGGGCTCTGGGGGTGGGGTGGGGCGCGGCGACAGCATTTGGGAAACCCAGCCCTGCCGAGGGCCAGCCCCCAGCCCCTGCCCGTCCCCGAAGCTGCCAGAGGGAGGCCCGTGGCCCCACAGTCAGCTCTCGTTGCCGTGGGTGGGGCGGCGGCGCCCCCGCGCAGGATAACCCGCCTGGCGCCTCCCCGCGCGCGGGGCCAGTGGTCGCGTCCGAGGAAACTCTCGGCTAGGCCCCGACTTCCAGCGCCTCGCGTCACTCAGCCGATGCACAGCGCCCCCATCCCGGAGAGAAGGCTCTTTATTTCCCATCAGGCCACGGGGCAGCGGGGGCAGCCCGGGACTTGTAGTCTTCGCTAGAGTAGAAAGGAACCGGATCGAAGGGAGAAAAAACTAAAGCACCCGTGAATTGATTGCCGAGAATAGGCTTGTACGGGACCCCGGGCTTGGAGCGGATGGGCTTGTGAAAGGTGGAAAGAAGAGAAATAAGTGAGATGAGGCAGATGTGAAGCTGTATGGGGAGGCGACGGGTAGGGAGGGGAAGGGAGGAAGGGGGTACAGCTGAAAGTTGGTTTAAGGATGTCCTGCAGGAGGGCAGCTTTCCAGGGCAATAAGGCGAGGGAAGACTCTGGTTCAGGTATAGCTAGGGGTAGCGGGGAAGGGAAGAGCAAGGGGCCTAGTCTGCATGAAAACTGAAGGCGCTCCTCCAGACTTCATGTAGGTCTCAGAGGACTCCATCTAGCTTCTAAGTTCTGTGGAGTGGGGGCAGGAGGGTCTGGAGAACGCTCCTGCCGGGTTAGTGGAGCAGGACTTGTCTGCCTCCGCTTGCCAGCTCACTCATTTGTTGCATTTGCTGTGCTAGCCACTGTGGGACCATTCTCCAAGGCAGCAACTTCCTCCAACTCAGAGAGACCCTAAAAGCCAGACAGTTGTGAGGGGAGCAAACTGTAGGGGTGAGAAAGGAGGAATCCCAGACAGAAACAACTTCCTCCTTTTCTTCCATTTTTTCTTGTTCCCATAGTTCATCCGATATTTAGGCAGCTTCCTAATGCTCTCCCGCATTTTTAGTCTCAGCCATTTAGATACCCAGTTCCCTCTTACTCAACACTACGGAAGAAATGTCTAAAACCAGAAAACCAGTTTCCGGCTACGACCCCTTCTCTTCCTCCGCCCCCACTAATCCCATTATTCTCTCTTAAGTGCCACTGACCACAATAGCCAGTAAAAAAATCAGCTGCTAGCTCACTGCTCCATACTTTCCTCCATGCCCTGAATACCTCCTCGAGCTCCTGGTAGTGCAGATTCTGGCTCCTGCAGCATCCTGGCTTCCTCTGGCTCAGCAGGAATAGCGAGTATGCAGAGACCAGCACTCCCCCTAGGGTGAAGGCCTCAGTGCTGAGCTCCACCACCAGCAAGCCAGCCAGCTGCGGGTAGACAGGGCTGAGGATGCTACAGGGAAACTGTTTGCCCCTGCCCCTTTCCCTCTTCATCTCCTCATCCTCCCGCCTTCTCCTTTATTCACCCATACCTGGGAAGGGGCAGCTGGGGCAGGCCCCAAGGCTGTCTTCATCACCTCGACCACCACCACGATAAAGCCCAAGATCAGACTGAAGATGTTGAGTATCATCATGGCCTGCACCTGCCAGTGAGCCAGTTCAGCCCTGCCCAGGCTAGGGGACTCATTGCCACCCCAAGCCCTACCTGCAGCCTAGCCCCAAAACAAAACTCAGCTCCTATTCCTCCACCTCCAAACAGGGCCATGAGCCCTCTAATTTCTTGCTTTCCCTCCTCAGTTTTTGAGTCCAGTCAGGGGCAGAGAGCTGGAAGGATTAGTTAACATTTAGTCACTTCCTGGGCTGATTGGTTTGTGTGCGTGGACATGTGTGCATGCGTGTGTGTGTGGGGGGGTGGGAGAACAGTGCTGCATTCTCTTCCCCTCCTACCTTCCAGAGGCGGGGTGCTCTGCGCAGCTCAAGGGTGACAGTCCCAGTGAGGAGACCCTGAATGGTGAGAAAGGCAAGTGTTGAGCTCTGGCCCCATTAAGGAGGGGCCTCCAGGACCTTCCTTCCACCCTTCCTTGTGGTGGGTCTTACCAATGCTCCAGGCCCAAGTGGCAGTGCTGTGGCCATGTGACAAGCAGAGTTCAGGCAGGCAACGGAGACAGCAAAGGGCACCACGCCCACTGCCAGCCATAGCTGACTCACCTGGAGGCCAGACACAGGGTAGTTGAAGGGGATACAGAGATCAGCAATTGGGAGGAATGCACGTTGGCAGAAAGTAGTCAACCAAGGGCAAGTGAGGGAATGCGATATTATTTAATTTTTCTGTCTCATGTTCAAGTTTGGTTACTTACCTATGTGTTTTCCCCACACGATGGAAGCTAATTGGGGATTAAGGGTCTTGCTTCATTATTCTATGCTTTCTCCACCCTCCTCCCACTCAGAGGCTAGCACAGTTTCAGGCACGGGGGAGGTGCTCCCTAAACACGGATAGAATTGAATTGGGGTGCAATTGGACATGCTGAAGGTTGGGGTGGGGCAGCCTGGCCTCACCGCCAGCACCAAGAGGTGCCCACTCTGCCTGTGCCTTGCCCAGTGCTGTAGCTTTTCCAGACGAAGCTTGGGTCTCTTCTGCTCCCACTGAGCAGCTTTCTCCTCCATGGCTCCCTTGATCGCTGGAGTTCAGTGCTTCCTAGGCTGGGAGAAATGCATTATGGCACCTATCAGGAGATAGGACATGCAGAAACATCTCTTTCCGCTGTCCCTTTGCCCACTTCCAAAATCCAGGGAGTTGAGGCTCAGGGCCTCAGACCTACCTTGTCTGAAGGTGCTACTCCAAAGGGATGGGACCCAGCCGAGCCTGGAGCTCCTGGCAGGGTCCGGTAGCTCAGAGCAGACGACGACAAACTTGTTTTGGCAGAGACAGGCTGTCAGGGCCGGGTGTGGTGGGGCAAAGGTCCCCATTGAGAGCCTAAGGATCCAGGGAGTGGCCATGGGCAGACACCAGCCTCAGTTCATTCCACAAGACCGCCCAGCCCTGCCTTGCTCTGTCCCTCTTTCCCGTTGCCGCCCTCTCTGCCCATCCGGGGTCCTCTTCTGATTGCTCACCTCATCCCAATGGACACTACCACCCTGGGGTCCCAGTTTCCCCCCATTTCCGTCTAATCTTTCTCCTTTTTTTGCTTCCACCTCAGATTACCTGCTGTTCCCTAGGGAAATCCCATGTTACTGTCTGAATTGGTCCCCTGTCATTACCACTTGCAGTGTTGTCTCAAGACCAGGCAAGGTTTAATTCCCCTGGCTTCCTGTCTCTCACTTCTGGAGTTTCTCCTCTCTTCTTCCTTTCTTGAAGGATTTACTCTGGATTGGACACGAAGTAGATGGGGATCCCTATTTAGAGTGGGGATTTTTTAATGTTATGGTGTTAACTTGCAGCAAGATATGTATAGAAAATAGTCCTCAAATGGTCAGTCTTGGGAAGGACATTACCGCACCAAAGGATATTTTTGAGAGATACAGGTTGCCTTGCAGTCAGGCTGACTTGGACTAGAATCTCAGTTCTGTCACTTTCCCAGCTGTGTGACCTTGGATACATTATTCTACCTATTTGAACCTCAGTTTGTCAAACTGAGTGATAAAAACGGGGCTAATAATATGACTGTGAGGGGTTGTTGGACTCACGGTGGGCACTTAATAACCATCGGTGGTGCAGGGAGGTCACACTGATGTGCCTGATGCCCATATATTAAAGGCTTATTCAGAAGCTAAGCTGGGGACATCTGTTTCTACAGTAAGAAGCAGAACCAGCTGGGCCCGAATATATACTCTATGGATCAAACATAGGAAAGGTGCAGAGCCCAAGATCTGGAGAAAACCAGACCTATGTTCAAATCCAAGATCTACCGGGGTGACCTAGGGCAAGTTGCTTAATCTCTCTGTTTCCTTATCTATAAAGGGAAGTTAATAATACTGATCTCAATACAATACTCAAGGGGTTGCCTTGAGTATTAAAAGAGAAAATGCAATGAACTAGCTCAGCCGGGTACCTAGCACTTAAGTGCTCAATAATTGTTAGTGACTATTATCATTATTATTACTGAAGGTATTAGAAGACTGAGCCAGAAGACTTCTGGGAGTTAGTACTGACAGGCAGGGTCCTGGGAGGCAAGTGGTCCTTTGTAAGACCCTTCTGTCCTGCTTCGTGCTGGGCCAGCACTCATTGGAGCACTGTGTCCACTCTTCTTTCCTGGGGAGTGGGAATCACATTTAAAGGGATCTGGAGAAGTTGTGTGTCTACTCCTGCCTCAGTCCCCATGTGCATTAATTTTATTTGGTGGCCATGGCCTGGCAGAATGTGAAATGTTCGGCTTGCTCTGAGGATCCCTGAGCTGGTAGGCCAGTGGAAAGAGACTCTTTAGCTTTATTTTCCTTACCTGTAAATGCAGACTGATTATATTTCAGAATGTTATTGCAAGGATTCTATACTATTAAATAAATGAACAGGCATTCCGTCAATATTGATTAAAGCTGAGTATACTACTTACAAATTTGTAGCCCCTGTCTAGATTACAATCTGCTCATGGGAGGGTACTACAAGCCCCTCATCTGCTCATCCCCCACAGTGCTAAGCATAGTGCCTGGTACTCGGTAAGCAATTAGTAAATATTTGTTGTATTGAAGAGCCATTAAAGTGACTTAGGGAATGGAAAAGAGAATTCGAGAGGAAGGAGTAGGATTTGTTTATCAAGAACAGAAAGGACCGAAGAGTAACTTTAATAATGTTTCTTATACGGCAGACATTAACTATCTCTATTATCGCCCCTCCTCCTCCTCCCCAAAAAGATAGACAGAAATTGTAAGGGAGAGGCTTTGAGATAAAACCCCAGGAAGAACTTCCCGAGTCTGTGCATGTTGGGGCAGAAAGAGCGGCAGAGCCAACTCCTTCCCTGGTATGTCCGGGTTTAGGGTGGGAGGGGCAGTCCGGCTTGGAGGCTGGGGGAAGGACGAGATGACCTTTCAAAATCTCTTCCAGTCTCCTGTTGGAATCGTCTGTGCGTCCCACCCCCGCTCACTCCCTCCCTCCCTCCGACAGCGCCCCCCGTCTCCAAACTGCCCGTACCCCGCCCCTGGCGGCCGCCTCTCGCGGCTCCCGGGGTCCCTAGCTCCCTGTCCCCGGAGCCAGAGCCCCGCTCCCGCTCCCGCGCGGCTCCC